TTTTACATTATACTGCCATCTGGTGGCCCCTAAAAATAATGGCAGGCTGCACCCAGAAATGCCCAGGTTTTTTTTTACATTATACTGCCCTCTGGTGGCCCTCAAAATAATGGCAGGCTGCACCCCAAAAATGTGCAGGTTTTTAAAACAATACTCCCTCCTGGTAGCCCCAAAAATAAAGGCATGTTACACCCCTTGTATGGACTATTCTTCCTGTGACATTGCTCCATTTTGCCTCTAAAATAAGGCAGGCTGTACCCCTAAAACTGCCATTGTGTTTGTGGGATACTGCCCTTTTCATTTGTTGGTCCACTCGAGGCCCCCATGACACAAGAAGCGGGTGCTGTGACTCATTCTTGTGTGTTCTGTGGGGTCCCTAAATGGTCTGATCCACTTTGTAGGGGGGGGAAACACCTTGGTACCCCATGTTTATCCAGAGTCATGCCTTGAGGGTTTTTGAAACTCTTCACTGTAGAAAAATGACTAAGAACAGAAAGCAAGCATGAGATTCTCAGGTACTGAGTACAGCCATATATTAACAGGATCAGGCCCTTTTTCTCCTCTCCCATCTCGGGTGGTAGAACCCGTGGCAATGTGGGCGAAGGCCTCTGCCCCGGCCTCAGCCTCTTCCTCCTCCTCCAGATCCCCATCCTGGGTGGGTCTTGCAGGCCCAGCCTGGCCTCCACTCGCCACCGCTTGTCTCAGATCGCCCACAGGTGGTATCTCTGGTCTCGGATGGAGTTGAGGCCTGCGTGGCAGCTGTGGAGGTCCTTCGAGCCTGCAAGTAGGAGAGCAGTCAGTAAGGGGCAGCAGAGGTATAAAAGCCCCACGGAAGGAGGGTTCCTGCACAAGGAGCCGTCACCCTGCACCTCCTCCTTCCTTTCTGCTTGGGGGTGAGTTCACCATAGTCTTGTCTCAAGCTGCATTGATTTAGCCTGCTTTGGCTAGACTCTCTCTCTCTCTCTCTGTTTGGGTGGGTGGGGAGGGGTATGGAACTGCTCCCACAACCCCCACATCTCATTCACCCACCCCTTTGCCAGTGTGTGCAAAAGTTCCTTTTTTCCAGAAAACAGCAACAGGCCTCCAAAAGGAAAGCAATTTGGCCCTGGGTGTTGCAGCCTCCAACTTGCTTCGTGCCCCATAGGTGGGTAGCCGAAGCACTCCAACCCTTCTGCCTAGCAGATGTTTTCTGGGTTTTTGGTTTTCGTTACAATATGGGCTCACACCTCCTCTCCTCCCTCCCCCTCTCACAGCCACTTGAAGGCAACAGGGTGGGTGGGAGCAGGGGCCTCTTCCTGGCATTCACAAACTGGAATTGTGGCTTTGGGGACTCAGGGGAGGGGTGGCCCCAGTTCTCTGATGATGGAGTCAAGGTCCAGGAACCTGGGCATGTGTTAGAAGGGGAAGCCAGGGCTTCAGGACAGTGTGAGCACTCCCACTTGGTTGCCCATTCAGTGGATGAAACAAGGGCAGTGACAGAAGGACCCAAGCCTTGCCCTGGGGCTGGGCCAGGCCAAAGGCCTCTCCTGGCCCCACGTCTGCAGCAACACATGCAAAAGAATTCCACCTGTATTTTCAACTGTCCAGGTTTGTCCCCTCCATGCCTGGAAAGGGTTAAGACCCTGAGACAGGTTGCCTGAAGGCCAGGAGTGAGGCTGCTGAAGACTCATGGGTCTCAGCTGCTGCCCCGGAGGAGGCCCCGCCCCGCCCTGTCCAGCTGCCTGAAACTGTTTGCAAGGGAGCCCCGCTTTCCTCTCTCTCTCTTCCAGCCGGCTGCCCACGTTGGGGGGGGGGAGTGGCTCCCAGGAGATGGGGGAACGAGAAGCAACTCAGTGGCCACGAGTGGAAACAGGGCTGGGGAAGGGGATTTGTCCTGCCAGGGATCAGGATCCGGTCCTTCCTATGCCGGTTATCCAAAGAGACCCACAGGTATGTCCTTATTTTTCTCACTATTTTGGAAATGTGGGAGGTGGGTGGGAGTAGCAGGGTTGGGCCCTGACAGCCGTTTTCCTGCCTTGCCCTAAAGTTTCCTGTTGTGCCCGTGCAAGGGTGTGTGTGTGTGTGTGTCCGTCCCTGTCGTCTTCTGAGCTGCAATAAAGTTGGGCTCCTCCCTGGAGGCAGCCCCCCAACCTGGCTACTGCCTTTCTCCTTGCTTCCTCTCACCAGGCAGCTTTCTGGTTTGCGAAAGGGAAAGGGAAGCCCCACGGCTCCTGAAGAGTTTCGGGGGAGGGTTTCTTTTCTCTGTGGCCCCTCCAAGAGCCCCACAGGAGTCCTCCTGGCTGGAGGTACGAGGGGCTTTCTTCCACTGAGACAGCCGGCAAGGGGGGGGGGAAGAGAGCTATTAATTTCTAGGGATCGTCAAAGAAAGCTCTCCTTGGCTTTCCACAGAGGCAGGTGAGGCCCCACCAGGAAGCTTGCACCCTGAGCACGAGACTTTTCCCTCTGCCCTGCCAACCTTCACACGGCCACAAAGCCCCCTGCTTACCTCCCCTGGGGAGGGGCTGCTTCGGCCGAGGGGTCCCCCTCCATCTCATCTTTGGCTTCTCTTCGCTCCTTCTTGCTGGGCTGCCTGGAAAGTGAGAGGAAGGGGTCAGTGTTGCCCAAGGGACCTGCCTTTGCAACCCAAAGGCCGGAACTCTGTAGGAAGATGGAAGGGTGAGTGGGTGGGCAGAGGAATAAGTAAACATTTCCCTCTGGTACACAGCCAAAGTCTCTCTCTCTCTGTCACACACACACACAGAGAGAGAGAGAGAGAACGAGTAGCTCAGAGTTTTGATCCCCTCCCAATAAACCAATGTTCACCCTTCCAAATTTTATTTCTTGCAGCAGAAAGAAGGGCTCTGGCCCCCTGCTAGGGGTGGTTGCTGTTCTCCCTGTCTGAGATGCCACTGGCAGCCGAGCTGGGCCCAGAACAGACCAGTGGGGGAAACAATGGGCCAATGAACTGGCACCACTGCCCTGACTGAGGGGCCTCAGTGGTGGCCACTACTCCATCAGGCCCCCAGTGGCCTTCCCCCCCCCTCTCTCTCTCCGTCCTTCTGCACGTCCCAATGTTCTTTGCTATTACCTGCTGGTTCTATTTCTTTTCTGATGAGCGCCAGAGTAGTCTAGCTGGCTCTCCCCCTCCCCTTTTGTCTTCACAACAACCCTATCAGGGAGCCTAAGCTGGGAGACGCAGCACGATTGGCCCACAGGGCACCCAGTTCCTTTCGCGGCCAAGTGGGAATTCAAACCCAGCACACTCATGGCGCTTTACCTGTGCCAGCAGCAACTGCTAGAGAACCAGGCCTGTGACAAACCCAGACCTACTGGGATCTATCACACAGTTACTAAGCTGCCACCAACCATTCCCTATAATAAGTCACACAGACCAGGGATGGATTTTTAAACAATAAAAGAATAAGGTTTATTTTAAATACAAACAGGGTAAATAAAACAATCGGGTGAATAAAATAAAGTAACGTGGCTTATTCTCACACACACCCAAGCATACAGTTTGGTTCACCTAGAACCTTTAACTTAAAGCACAGACCCTGAACCCATCAGTTCTGGCTAACCCACAGACCCCTGAACCTTTCAGGTTGGTACTCTGACACACAGTAGTACCCTGTCAGACACCCAGACTCCCACAACAGCTTCTTCTTCCCCAGCTGCTGCTTCGTCCCAACCCAGTGTCTCACAGTCTGTCTCAGCATCTCCTCTTCACCACACAGGCATCACATATTTATACAGTACAGCCCCTCCTCCTGATGTCCCGCCTTCCACTCCCCATAGGATGGAACTTTCCCTCCAAACCCATGACAGACAGGTAACATCAGTGCTGTTATGTAACAAGGCCCTCCTCTTCCTTCCAACGTGGCAGGAAGTGATGCCAGCAGAATCCTCACAGGGCGTCTAGGATTCCATGGCTGGTTGCGAGGTCACCACCTGGTCGGTCATGGACTCCCGCACGGGTAGCAACTCAGCAGGCCAGGCAACCCTCAGCGGCCTTCCGGGTCTCCCGTCCACGCCTCCTGCTCGGTCTTTTCACACTCCAAGTGCCTAGACATGTGCGCCTTGTAAGTGCAACCCCGCTGTAGATTTCTCCTCAGGACCTCACGAACCTGGACTGTCCAAGCGGGAAGGCGGCAGGGCTGGCCAGGAGCGGATTGGGGCCGTTGCAGGGGCCCAATTGTCCAGGGGAGCCCCGAGAGGTGCCCTCTGTCCGGGCCTGGCTGAGGTCTGGAGTCCCCTCGTCTTGCTGCCGGGACAATCGAGAAGACATCCCTGAAAGGTTTCAGCCGGAGGTCTGGCTTCCTGGTGCCTCGAGGCTCTTCTGCCGTGCACGGCGCCCAGGGAGGATGGAGAGGGGATCTCGCCCCCTCCTTCCGAGCATGTCGGACGGGGTCCCCAGAGCAGCCTCTCCCCTCCACCCTTTTGCCTCAAGGCGAAACCCGCCCCCAGGCCTTGCCCGCCTCGCCCTCCCGGCCACCCTCCCTCCCTCCCTCCCTCCTCGGAGCTTCCTCTGCTCTGTGGCCAACCTCCGAGGCTGCCCCAAACATCCCCTGGAGCCCAAGGCCAGGCCAGGGGGGACCCTCTGGGCTCGGACGCCCTGCCGCCTGGAAATACGAACGGGCCTTCCGAGGCCGGCCGCGCCTCCCAGGGACTTTGGGGGGCCCCAACCCCCGACCCTCCCACCCCAGGGACTTTGGGGGGGGGCTCCCTGGCCAGGCCGCAGCCTGTGTGGCTGGTCCCATAGATAGAGGGTAGACCATGGTGTGGGGCAGCCCAGAAGCAAGGAGGGGGAGGGGAGGCCTGGGGGGGGCTTCTGTCTGTGTGTCCTGCTTCCTCCCCCCCACCCCAGCCGCCAGCCTGGCCTACCTAGCAGGGCTGTTGTGCCAGGGCAGGGAGGAGAAGGGCGCTAGGAGCCGTGGAAGGAAGGACGAGGAGCCGCCCGCCTCCTTCCCAGCAGCCCCACTTTTGAGGGGAAATAATTGGTTTAAATCCAAAACAAAACAAAAGAAAGAAACAGGGAAAGGCGGGGGGGGGGGGTCGTGCGGGGAGGTCCATTTCTCCACCCCGCCCGCAGGGGGCGCCTGCGGAGGCCCGGCCCTGCTTGGCCGTTACACCTCTTCTTAGCCGGCGCCGCCTCCTCCTCTTCCGGAAGTGACGTCACCCGGGACGCTGACGTCCCAAGCTGAGGCCTCTCCGCCTCCCCCACGTGACGTTCCGTCCCCCCCCCCCCCCTGGCCTGTTGTTGTTGTTTAGTCGTGCCCGAGACTCTTCGTGACCCCCCCCACAGGCCAGGTCACGCGCCCGGCCCCCCTCCTGCCTTCCGGGGCCTTCTCCAGAGTTGGGCCAAAGTCATGTGGGTCGCTTCGCCGCAGAATTTTAGCCGACTGAAAGGAACCTCCTCCTCCTCCTCCCCTTTACGGAAGTGACGTCATGTCGATGGACCCTCTTTTTCCCCCGTGCGTCGGTGTAATCTGTCCCCCCTGCTCTCCCGGAAGTGACGCCTAGGGTGAGTCAGGACCAGTGGCCGACGGGGCGCTTCCGTTTCCGGTGGCTGGAGCTGGGGGTGGGAGAGGGACCGAGGGAGGAAGAAGGAGGAGGAGGAGGAGGAAGAAGAAGAAGAAGAAGAAGGCAAGAAAAGAGCGAGAGGAAGAGGAAGAGGAAGGCAGCCCACCAGCCGGCCCGGAGGCAGGCAGGCAGGGAGGGACCGACGGACGGACGGAGGGAGCCCGCCATCCAGCCAGGCCACCGCGGAGGCTCAGGTGAGCGGCGGCTGGGCCTGGACCCGCGGACGGGCGGGAGGGCCACAACTCCCATCGCCCTGCGGCCCCTGGGTTGGAAGAGGAGGATGGGAGTTGTCGTCCCTGCGGAAGAATTGGGGGGGGGGCGTCGGCCACAACTTCCTAGAAGGACGTGGGTTTTCTTGCAGGGGCAGAAGGAGGATCCTCCCTCCCTCCTTCCCTCCCTGTGGTTCGGGGGCCTGGTTCTGCCCTCGAGGGCCCCTGGAGAGAGCCTGGGCCTTGGGTTTCCATAGAGGGGGGGGGAAGGAGGAGAGAGGAGGGCGTGTGTGTGTGTGAGAGAGAGAGTTGGGGGGGGGAAGAGAGAGAGAGAGAGGAATCGTGGGCCCTCCCTCCTGAGTAGCCCCAAAGGCAGAACTGCCCAGGGGGAAAGGCAGGATCCCAAAACTCTTGCACGGTCGGCCGGGCGGAGGGAAGGAGAGAGGGAGGGAGGGAGAGGGGCCCGAGGCTGGCTAAGGGGTCCCAAGGTTGGCCATGAGATCGGCCTCTCTTCCATCTCGGTCCCACACGGGGATATCAGGGGGGAACAGAGTAACCCGCTCCCCCCCCGGGGGGATCCTGGGAGATGGTCACAAGAGGGGGTGGGGGTGGGAGAAGAAGGGAGCCTTTGCAGTCTTCATGTCCAAAGGCTGAGAACATGGAGAGGAAGGAAAGGACCTACGTGTGTGTGCATGCGCGCCTTAACACCCTGTACCCTTTGCGGAACAATGGCACGGGGCTCTAGGCCGGGTATCCCAGAGGCTCCTTGCCCGCTGGGTGCTTTTCATTCCCCAAAGAGCCTTTTAGAGTCGCTCACAGTCAGTCAACCTGGAGTGTGGAAGCCGAGCCTTCCAGCGGAGGACAAAGGTCAGGGCGGAGGGAGGCCTGGTTTCCATTCACTGGGCTGCCTGAGAGGAAAGGGGAAGGGGAAGGGAGGGGGGGGTGGTGGTCTTGGCGGGGGGGTCCGGGGCTTGGATGCATCCCGGCCATTCTCCATGCCAGGCGTTGGTGCAGAACAAGGGCCGTGGCCTCCCTTTTCCTGCTGCTGGGCTCTCCACGCGGACATCTGGCTGGCCGAGGGGCCTTTGGGAGGCCCCCAGGGCCAGGGGAAGCTGCTTTCTCCCTACCTGGCCCTGGGAGCCCCCTCTTGCCAGCCCTGAAGTGACTGCTCTGCCGCCAGTCCGGAGCTTGCCTGGCCCTCAGTCACTCTGGCCTGGCCTCTGACAGCAGTGGCTCTCCGGGGTGTGTGTGTGTGTGCTGGCAACAAAACAGCAGTTTTTTGCGTAGTGCTGAGAGCCCTTCCTGCAAGCAGCCTCACCTTGCGAAGCACAAAGCTGCCGAGGGTATGCTTGGCAGGGAACTGGGCTGGGTGAGGAGTAAGAGCAGGGGCCGCCAGCGCCTGGGAAGGCTGCACCCTTTTATTGCCTCCGTCTGAGAAGTTCTCCAGGGATGTAGGAACCGATTGCTTTCTGGAACCACAAATATTGGGCTCCAGGGGTTTTCTTTGGGTTTAAAATAGTCTCCTGGTGACTTCACTGTTTAAACATGGGTGTGGTGGTGGAGGGGAAGGAAGCCAGTAAGGAAACTCTCCTTGCCTTGCAGACTTTGTTCTGGTAGCGGGAGGCGGGGGGAGGGGAGAGGCAGCCGGATGGTTGGCTGACTGACAGAAAGGCTGACAGCTCGGGAGCCCCCCCTGTCAGTTCTGCCAGGCTTCTGGGTCCCCCAAAGGAGGCGAGATGGCCCATGCAGGGAGGGGCTGGGCCAGGCATGCGGCTGCCGGAGGCTGTGCCAGAGCATGACCTCCAGCTGGAAATGGGCCAGGTGGGCTGTCCCCTCCCTTAATTCAGGAGGCTGGCCGCTCCAGATGCAGCAGGTGAAGCATGAGGAAGCGGCAGTTCCTTCCTTGCATGTGGTTCCAGGCAAAGCCGGGTTCTCTTTCTTCCGTTTGAGAGCCGCTGGGATTTCCCTGCCAAGTGTGTGGCTGTTCCCATAGCCTAGGCTTCCGGTGGTCTCTGGGCTGTGGTTCAGAGGGAACAGGGTTCATCATCCTACCCCTTTATTTTGGTAGGTGTTTAGGATGAAGGCAGCAAGGTTTGGAAGTGGTGTGCTTGCTTAAAATCTCTGGAAAGATCCGGTGCAGTTTCCTATCGCAAACCCTGTTTGAACTTGTCCGATGATGCCTTTCTGGGATGGGCTTCACGTGGGTGTCATCGGCGTGAGACGGTCCCTTTCAGCTGCTCACCCGTGGAGGAGCAGCTGAGGCCTGTTCTCCTTCCAGCTTCCCAGGCCCCTGGACGCCTGCCCTCGAAAGAGCGGCCCCCATCGCCTCCAGCCCAGACTCCCCTCTGGTCCCCTGTCCGCCTTGGCCCTCTCCGGCTTGTCGGGCGCGTTCTTGTGGGAAATGCCATGTTTGCAGCCTGTAGTTAAAGCCTGGCAGAGAGTGTGGTGACAGCTTTTGACCAGGTGGCGAAATTCTAGGTACAGACACCACTTCTTTGCTGAAGCAAGGCTGGGGTGGGGAGAGCCGGTTATTGGTGGAATCGTTGCGAGTCGCCGGGCCAGATGACGGAAGGTCCTCTTGACCAGTCCGGTTGCTGTCCAGGGAACCCTTAGTGCTCCGGCATCTGTTTTGGCTTCCGGAGGTTCTTTGTGGGGTTCTGTCGAAATCTGCTTCCGTGTAATTTCAATCCACTACATGTGGAGATACGATGCTGACTTCTTTTTTTCTCTCCTTTTCTCCTCCCACACCCACCTTTAAACCGTCCACTGTTTGAATATCCAGTAGGAGCAGAAAAATGAAGGCAGGCTGCCCGGTGGTGGAGAAGCCGGAGGTAGGCGGAGGTAAGTGGCTGTCTTCTGCTGCCAGGTCTCCCGTCCATCCATCCACCCCCCCGCCCAGTTCTGGACTTTTAGAACCATGACCCTGCACGACGGGAGCCACCCTTTAAGTCATGAGGACACTCACAACCACCGCCACCCTTTCCTGGCTCTGATTCAGACGGAGGGCTTGTCTGCCTTGCTTAGAGTCCTCTTTGGGGCCAAGCTGTAAACAGGGAAGGAAGGGAAGGAAAGGAAGGAAGGAAGTGATGATGGGCAGCAGGAAGGAAGGGAGGGAGGGAGGGACCGATTGAAGGGTGCCAGCGGAGTTTTGAAAGACTTCTTGGAGCCAGGCAGTCTGGCAGCAGGTCCTCTGAGGTGTCCGCCGGTGCCCTGATGGAGGTGTCCATGTGAGAGAGGCAGGCTTCTCCCTTCATGACTGCTGTTCTGTTCCCACTGTTCTCTTCTGCTCCTTTGAGCAGGATCCTGCCAAATACTGGGCAAGCATAAAGATTCTGGAGGTCTTGACCAGCGTAGAGGCAGGTGCGGGAGACGTAGCCAGAGTGTCTCAAAGGAGGAGCCGAGGTCTTTCTCTTGGCTGCATGCGGGGGGGGGGAGAGGTCTGGTTGCTGAACCTAACGTCCTTCCTTGTTTGAAAGAAGGGCTCAGAGCGCTTCAGGGAAGGGTCAGAGCAGCAGGACTGCGTGACTCAGAGCTACGGGCCATTCCAGCTATATACAAACCGGCTGGTGTTGTTTACTGCTGCAGAGGCTCTGTGAGAAAAGGAAGTGGATTTGGGGTTTGAGGGAACCTCTTTCTCGCCCTCTGCTGATGACTGTTGCCTGTGGCTCTTCAGGTTACCATTTCCCTGACTGGGCTTACAAGACCGAATCCAGCCCGGGCTCCCGGCAGATCCAGCTGTGGCACTTTATCCTGGAGCTGCTACAGAAAGAGGAGTTTCGGCACGTCATCGCCTGGCAGCAGGGCGAGTACGGGGAGTTTGTCATCAAGGACCCCGACGAGGTGGCTCGGCTGTGGGGCCGCAGGAAGTGCAAGCCCCAGATGAACTATGACAAGCTGAGCCGGGCCCTCAGGTGAGGAGGTCAACTGGCTGTGGAATGGCAGGGAAGGGAGGGGTGGGTGGGAGGGAGGAACTTTAAAGTCATCCACTCTGTCAGATACTCTGAAAAGCAGCCTCCTTTCTGAGCCTGGCTGTCCCGGCGCAACCTTTCTGAGGCCAAGGAGCTGGCTGCTCTGCCCGGTCCTCTTTGGCGTGATCCCCACCCGTGTCCCTCTGCCTGTGCCAGTTCCTCCTTCCGACGAGGTGGCCCAAACAGCGGAGGGACCGGCCCTGCCCTTGGGCACGTGCCCTGGGCTTTGTTCTTGGGAAGCTGCCACTTGGCCAGGGGCCCTTGGGCAGCCGGACGGGGGCCCTCCCCTCTCCTGAACCAGGAAGCGCAGGTGAGATTTTGCATAGCCGAGCCAGAAGGAGGGGCGCAGAGGAAAGAAGGCTCGGAGGAGGGTGGGGGGGCGGAGGGGGAGAAGGGTGGCCAAAGTTTACTCTGGGGTTTCTCCCCCGCGCTCCTCAGCAAGGGCCCTGGGGAGCAGGACGGGTGGGGTGGGGGTCACAGCGGCTTCTTGCATTTTGGCAGGTATTACTACAACAAGCGGATTCTCCACAAGACAAAAGGGAAGCGTTTCACCTACAAGTTCAACTTCAACAAGCTGGTGATGCCCAATTACCCCTTCATCAACATCCGTCCCACGGGTGAGCGGGGAGCCCCTCCCTTGGGCCTTATGGGGGGGGGAGGG